AAGACCTAAATATAAGACCTAAAACCACAAAATCCTTAAAAGAAAACATAGGGGAACATTCACAGCATTCGATTTGGCAATGATTTCTTGGATATGACACCAAAAGCACAGGCAATAAAAGCAAAAATAGACAAATGGGACTACAACAAAATTAAAAACTTATGTGTATCAATGAATACAATCAATAGAGTGAAAAGGCAACCTAGGAAATGAGAGAAAATATTTGCAAATCATATAACTGATAAGGAGTTAATATCCAGAGTGTATAAAGAACTCACCAACAAAACAACTGGATTATAAAAAGGGCAAAGGACTTGAATAGATATTTTTCTAGAGAAGATGTACAAATAGAAAACAAGCATATAAAAAGATATGCAACATCACTAATCATTAGGGAAACACAAATCAAAACCACAATGAAATATCAACTCATACCTATGAGGAAGGCTATTATCCACAAAAACAAAGTAACAAGTGTTGGCAAGTATACGGAGAAAATGAAATCCTTGTGCACTGTTAAGGGAATGTAAATGGTGCAGCTGCTCGAAACAGTATGGCTATTCCTCAAAAAATTAAAAATACAATTATCATAGGATCCAGCAGTTCCACCTCTGGGTATATACCCAATAAAAAGACAAGCCACAGACTGGAAGAAAATATCTGCAAAACATGTATCTGACAAAGAACTTGTATTTAGAATATAAAGAACTTTCAAAATTTAACAATAAAAACAACCCAATTTTTTACAAGTGCCAAAGACTTGAATAAGGACTTCACAAAGGAAGATATACAAATCACTAACATAAGCACCTGAAAAGATAATTCAACATCATTAGTCATCAGGGAAATGCTAAATAAAATCTATTGAGAAAATAGTTTGGTGGTTCCTAAAAAAGGTAAACATACAATTACCACATGACCCAGCAATCCTACTCCTAGGTATATATAGCCAAAATAATTGAAGACAGACTCAAACAGATACTCGTATCTGAATCTTCATTGTAACATAGGTCACAGTAGAACAACCATCCAAATCCATCAACAGATGAATGGATAAACAAAATGTGGTATATACATACAATGGAATATTATTCAACCATAAAAAGGAAAGACATTCTGATACATGCCACACTATGAACTCTGAAAACATCAAACCAGATAAAATAAGCCAGACACAAAAGGACAAATATTGTATGATTACATTTATATGAAATATCTATAGGTAAATTATTAATAGAGACAGGAACTAGACAAGAGGTTACCAGGGGCTGGGGGGAGAGGAGAGTGGGGAGCTACTGCTTAACGAGTACAGAGTTTCTGTTTAAGGTGATGAAAAAGATTTGGGAATAGAGAGCAGTGATGGTTGTACAACATTGTGAATGTAATTA